TGCTGGCTCATATTTAAGTGAGGTCCCTCTCATAGTTACTACTGTTGAGCAAGGTACCCCCTATACTATACCTGTGCATTTGGTTTTTCTTGCCTAAATGTAGAACCTTACTTTTTTCACCATTGAATTTCATTTTGTTAGATAGCGCCCAGTGTTCAAGTCTGTCCAGATCCTCCTGTATCCTAAGCCTGTCTTCTGAAGTATTGGCTATTCATGCCAGCTTGGTGTCATCTGCAAATTTGATGATTTCCCCATCTATCCCCTCATCCAAATCGTTGATTTGGCTTACTAGGCCCCAACTCCTGGTCCCCATCACTCTCTCTAAGGCCTCTCCTGGCTGTACTTAGCTTCTGAGAATGAACTCTCAGTATGGGTCATGACAAGCATAAAAATTACAAATTGATGTTTCAGCCAGAAAGAGATGTCCTGCTGAATCCAAAGGTAAATTGCTAATTGCCTTTAATGCCATTCTAGAGATTATGTCAGTCACTTAGTCAATCAAATAACAACCAACTTTTCTTTTAATACAGTATGGTTTAGTCTGCAATCCATTTCTATCTTTCTCTATAGATTAAGCAGATAAAAGACTTGGGTACTTACACTATTTGAGAAAATACTAATATGTGTATAGCCACACTATATATGAAACTGCCTTAACCTCAAGATCTAATCAAAGAGAGAAGGACATTGCTCACCTGCCCCCATCACCAGGAGAGCACATGGAAAATATGTAGCCTTGTGTAATGGCGTACACACAGAAAAGCAAAATTCACTCTGTACAGTAGTGAAATATGATATAATTTTATTTATACAGTAGTCAGGGACTAAATTACATTCCCAAATAAGACAGATCAAAACAAATAAAAGACTCAAAGGGTAAGAAGGATAAAATAAAATAAAATACCTACTTTAATAATAAAAGACATACACAGATTGTATAGTGATATAGTTAATTTTTGGTTAACCCTATCCAGGGCAACGCAATGGCTCAGCAATTAAGACATGGACTTGTTGGCTGGAAAGCCGACAGCCCAGATTCGAGAACCGAGCACTGTGCAACAGAGTGAGTCCCTGTCCTTGCTCCAGCTCCTGCCAAACCAGCAGTTCGAAAACACGCAGATGAGTAGATAAATAGATACCCCTTTGGTGGAAGGGTAATAGTACTCTGTGACATCATGCTGGCCACGTGAGCGCAGAAATGTCTTCAGACAGTGCTGGTTCAATGGCCTTGAAACAGAGATGAGCACTGCCCCCTAAAGCTGACTACGACTAGCAGAGTAAAGCCCACAGGAACTCCTTTATCTTTTTTAAACTTATCCATGACGTAGCAAAATATAGACAAAGATAGCTCATAATGGCATTTAATATATAATAAATTATTTTTTGCAATTTCTGTTATTTCCAAATCATTCCAAAGGGAAATGTCTTTGTTTGTCTCACATCTGGAAAGCATTCTGATGTCTGTGGGCAATCCCCCTGTACAGCTTACTCACGGATGACTATGAGCAGAAACTAACTAAAAAGCTGGTAAAGCTGTCATTCTAAAACTGAACAAATATGACGCCTATATGGAACATTATCTGATTAAACATGGAGTAAACCAGATCCATAGAAGATGGAAATGGTTTTAGGAATAAATCTCCCTGTAGGCTACAGCTGAATTGAAGACATAGTGACATACTGATGTAAATGCTGACTAAGCAGCCATGCAAAAGGTGGAACATTGTTTCAAAATTATGATTGATTATTGAAGCCAGTGACTTATTGTTCCAGTACACTCAATGATCCAAATATGCCCAAATAATTTGCCCAAATTTAGAAAGAGTGTTTTACAGCAGTGTGGACATGCATATGTTTTGAAAATATATTTTTAAACAGGAATCCTTCCAACCTAAATATAAGTCATAAATTATTCATTTCCAGATAAATCACAAATATTTGGATTGGGTACCTATGAGTTGCCAGAATTCTTCTCCAGATGATGAGTTAAAACCCATATACAAAATGTTGTCCAGGTAAAACACTTATAGTTGATTTAGATGCTATTCAGATTAATGAAGCATTATTACATATCTCAAAACATGAATACTAAATAATTGGCTATCACATGCAAACCATTCTTTGTTTTTGTTTTTTAAAGGAAGCCTTATAATATTATAGGAATTAATTAATCCTTGTTCCACCTACAGCCATTTAGACATCACAAAATGCAGAAGTCATGCAAGACTTTGATGGCAATGATTTCTTAGCATTTGCAAATAGGTTAGGAGTTTTGCTAGAATACATATTCTCAATGAAAAGAAAGTTTAATAGTCACATCAGTGCCAGAGAAACTTAGAAAATGCAATATTTGCAAACTTGAAGGTCATAAAGCAGTTTTGCACTATTTCCCAAAATTTGGTATTTATAGGTCTCCGTTTTACACACTGCCATTTGTTACTTTAAAATATAACAAGGTGGAGATATCCCGAGCAATTTATAAACACAATGGAAAACTTTACTCATTTTACAAGCAGTCTACAATTTTTACAAATTATTAGGCAAGCAGAAGGCAAACTACAAAGAATAAAAAGGTTCATTTTATAAATCTCCCAGACTTTGGGAAAATATTACAAGTTTTTAGTTTTAACATTATTCTTGAAGAAAAAAAATAGAAAAAAAATGAAACTTTGGAGAACGTCAATAAGAAGTTTTGTAAACATCATTTTGGAAGAAGATATTACTCATTAAATATCAATGAATGTGTAAGAGGAGGATTTGTATGTATGCCATAAATAGTGGAGAATAATGTTTCTTGTGTATACTGTAAACATGCATTGCATTTACTAAATCCCAGTTGTAACTACTGTATTTTCCGGCGTATAAGGCAACTCGGCGTATAAGATGACCCCCGACTTCAGCGCCGATTTCAATGCGTTAGAAAGTCGTCTTATACGTTGTAAAATATGGTATATGAAGCTATTGCTGGGTTTTTGTTTTAAAAGGTGTGGTTTCTAGTTTCAACATTTTGTTTACTATTCATCAGAGAGCAAGGTCTAAATGTTGAAATAATGTAGGGTGTAACTATTTGCACTTTTCTTTCTCTGTGAAGTACCACACATATTTAAAATTTGTATTTGTATAGTGAAGGACCCTATTCATAATTTGCAAAAGCCTTGACAGGCTTCACTTGTTTATAGGCTTCAACTGTTTTCAGTTATGTTATGTTCCCCTAGCATTAGACAATAAAACCAAGTGTTTTGGAAACAGGACAAAGTGGGTCCAAAAACACTTTGTTTCTTGGGATCAAGCACCTCAGTTACATCAGTTGGATTTGTTATTGTGCCTCTTAATTACTTTAAATGAGGGAAAACAAAAAATATCTACAGTTTGAAAAGCTGTAGTATATTCTTTGCCTAATGGATGCTCTGAAAGTCATTCAGTGCTTTACTCCTCACCAATTCTATTATCAAATAGTCCTGCAATACATTAATACTTTTGAGATTGCAATGCAGAGAATACATTCTATTAATCAAAAAGAGTCTATCTACTGAATAAATATTCATATGATTGGTTTGATAACTAAGTTATGAATGATACATTGCCGGTTGTTAAATAAATATTGCCCAATTTTGTTCTGCCGGGTTATGTATCAGTTGAAAAATACTTTCTTTCCTTGTAGTATCCTAAATTGTTGGCATTTCTGAATTCTGTTTGGTGCACATATTAATACTTTTTAAAACAAAATATACAAGTTTAAAATATTCACAAACGCAGTAATTGCATTTTAATTTCAGGCAATTCCAGATAAAAATTCCTAGTTATTCCTGTTTTTCTCAGTTAATTGCTCCTATATTAGCAGCCAAACATCTGAAAAACTACAGATATTTCTAATTATCAAAATTTTTGTAGATGCCCAATTAAAACAATAGTGAGTAGTTAGCAAAATTGTATATGAGGCAAAAACTTTACAAGAGGACTTTTTAAAATTTGCCTATGATTATGCATAAACTATGCATTTTTTCTTAGAGAAAGTTATTCTTCCTGTACTTTTTTTTTGCTGAAAATTAGTTTTTCCATCTGCATGACTGACTTTTAAGCTTTCCTTTTCAACCACCACAACAAATACTTTCCTCTACCATTTGTTTTCAAATGCAAATACGTTAATGAAAAAGTAGAGTTGGGCATTACTTACTCTTAGATTAATTTTAGTTTTCCTTTTTAAAAAGGTAACTTTTTTACTACATGTGTGATATTTAAATTTTAGATTACAGTGTTTGAAATTGTAGGGACAAAAAACTATTTCTCAATAGGGAAAAGAACCAGTATTATACTCTGACCCCAGCAAACTTATTCAGAAATCTGCCTCATTTATCTCAGTGGAATTTTACTTTACATGTTAACTTCCTGTCACTCTGACTTCTATTGCTGGAATTTGTAAAGGTCTAATGTTTCTTTTACTATTTAAGTACTATAATATAGTACTATAATATAAATGTAATATGAATGGACTACCCACTTTTTCTTCTTAAATTGCCAGAAAAGAATAAAACAGAAAGAAAAACTTGCAGCAATTGTTATAAAGCAATGCATTAGAGATTTTATATACTATTTCAGCAGACTAGGCCAGTGGCATCTATAGGATTCTGCTCCAATACCTGTAGGAAAAGGGCAGGACTGTTGACAAGTTAGCACTGCTTTGATCAGCGTGACACATATACACCCGTGGCGCCTACACACAGAGACCCTAGTACTAATGGGTGGAGCTTCACGGTCCTAAACTGTAAGCAATTATAAAAGTTAGATATTGATACTTGGAAGAAACATATTATTGTTACTATTCTAACATTGAAATATTAAACAGCAATATTGAGCAGCTGAGATATATAGAATTGAGATTCAGAGAAAGAATTATTTATTAAATTTGGTTCAAGTTATTAAAAGCATTAGGTCTAAACTACTTGCAATAAAGAAATACGTACCTACTTTATTCTCACTACTCCTAATTCACAGACATAGCTTAATTCTTCAGTTAGACACTGCGAAAGAAGCAAAAGATAGTGCTAAAATGCAGAATTTGTACAAGATGGTGGATAAAGTGGATGCTTATCAGAAAAGGCTTCTGGACAGCTGGAAAGTTAAGCAGAGTGCTGTAGAGAAGCAGCGCCAGCACTGCCTTACAAAAATGGTTGATCTGTTTGCCCAGGTAAGCCCAAAAGTATGAATTGATAGCATAAAACCTCAGAAATGTTATCTAGGCTAATAATCCACTGCTTTTCAACAGCTCTGGGGAGTTCATAAGCACTCATCAAATTCCCTATCCTCTGGTATTTTGAGACACTTATCATGTCTGCACTTAGTGCTTACACTGTTCCTACCCTGTGTTCATCCTGGCTTGGCTCCAAGGAGTTTATCCTCTCAGGACTGAGATACTTTGGCAGCAGCTTGCAAGGTCAGTCTGGACTGCAGACTGCCACATCCTTCCATTGGTCAATTCCCTGCAACTGTGCCTTTCCACCTTTCTCTTCCAAAAAAAGTCATGGCCAATCACTTTCCTTCCTTTTATGGTTCTTCTATAATATCTATGTATAATTATATGTATATGTATACACACAGACATATTTTATGTACACAAAGAATTTATGTATACAAAATGCAGATATAAGTAATAGTTTTTTAAAATCCTTTACTGCTGTCTATTTCTCATATCTTTTAGACTTACAATTATTATGAATACCATAATATGTTTGGAGGTTGCCAGTTTGGAGATTGCCAATTTTTCACAATGATGGTATGGTAAATCAAAATAATAGGCATTTAATAATCCATAGTGAGGTGCAATAAATTATTGTTTCTTTCTGCCCTTGTTATAGCTCCGTTCGAGTGCCCAACTCCACCTCATCAATCCATGTCCATTGATAGTTAAAGCAGAAGATAGCACAAAGAAGGAGACCTTCCACATGCCTCACATTAGATCTGTCTTCTTGAAGTCCAGGGTTTACAAAAGCCCCCTGGTTAGGGTGAAGAAATCTCAAGATTTCACAGTAACAGCTATGGTCAGGTATGGCTGGAAAAAAAAAACATGGGGAGGGAAGGCTACAATGGGGCAAATCCCTAAGTTATATTCTTCATGTCAGGTAACCTAAATTCCTGTAGGAAATTATTTTTAAAGTTATGTTCAAGCAAAATGTCAAATGCAACCATCAGATGGCTTATTGCAATAATATCAATACCATTTTCATCAAATCATTAAAACACATAAAAGATAGTTGAATCAGTAATAGAACTATGATTTGATCTCCCAAACGTGCTTTGAAGCATGAATATACCACCTGCTTGCAACATTTTAAAAGCATCCATATCTTTTCTGAGGATTGCATGCAAATCTGGAAAATCACAATTGCTGTGATGTAGACAGATGCTATATTTGTGCTCTGGTATGTCCTAAAACAGTGATGGCGAAACTATGGCACACGTACCAGAGGCGGCACTCAGAGCCGTCTCTGTGTCGTGCACTGGTGATGGCGAGGGACTGGCCCCTGCCGCCTTGGCCCCTCCCATCCAGTCTGCCATGACCACAGCGGCCACGCCCACCCGGCACCCAGTGATAAATAAGTGGGTTTGGGGTTGCAGTTTGGGCACTCGGTCTTTAAAAGGTTCGCCATCACTGTCCTAAAATATCTTTGAATCTGAAGCACTGCACAACTGTATTATTTTCTAAAACTCTTTATAAATGGGAAGTGTTAACTTTGTCATAGTCTTTGAAAAATTAATTGTGAATTTTTCTGATGAGACTAAGTTGAAGAGGGTGTTCCAAAATTATTCCCAGATCTTTTAAGAATATAGTTTACTTATTTTAGTCATTGTATTGTTTGAAGTAATTAATGCCCAAAATACATCTTATATAGAAAAGCGTATAGTATAATAGTACTAATAATCCAATTGCTGGGGGGGGGCAGCTGAGAGCTAATGAAGCATCACTTATTACGCTAAGACATAAATTTGTTGGTTTGATTCTGGCTAATAGTGTTGTGTGAATTCAGCCATTATGTTTTGAGAAACATAGTCCATGGCTCATGGTTTACTATATTGTATACATCCACTTAATTTTGTCTTATTCAACAAATCAATCTCCCTATAATTGTTTTTCCTCTCTGCAGAGCTGTTGCCTCATATTAAATATATGAATTGATAGATTTTTTTTAATTAAAATGTATTAAATAGTAGACTGCCCAATATTTTTCCATTTGGATTATAACTGTATTTTCTCTACAGAAGAAAGCCAAGCAGTGAGCAAATAGAATCACTGTGGAAGACAGATATCACAGAACTGAGTTTTCCCCTTGGACCCAAAGTACCTGTGTCTTTTCTGTGGTCTGAGTCCTGTGGCTTTCCAGATATTCCTAGATTTTTGGAATTAGACATTTCTTCTGTTAGGGGGAAGCCCCTTCGACAAATAGAGACTCGGTAAGTGGCCTTGCATTAAGGAATCTCTGTAATGACAGCTAGTAGAAATCATAAAGATGTTAATGCAATGTTTTCTCATATTGATTAAAGAACATCAATCCAGAGCAGCGTCAGCAATTTCTCTGATGTGATGCTTCTGCCATTATCATTCTCAGAATGTTTTTTTGCTTCCATAGATACTTCTGAATGTCCCCTTTTTTAGCAGCCAGTTCTTGAATAACAATGCTTTCCCCTCCTGCCTCTATTTTGTAACAGCTATTTTAGATAGTGGTTTTAAAGATTGGAAGATGATCTCCCCCCCTCTCTTCATAGATACATCCAGATTATCTCTGTGGCATGGGTAGGCAGCCATTGACTCTACATGTTTTTCCCCGTGCATGCCCAGCATCAAACGTAAGCAACAAATGAGTGAAATGGTTTCCTGCCATTCTGAAACAGCCAGCACATACAAAAGAATGATAGCATGACAAGTATACATAAAATCGGGGGGGGGGGGGAGAGAGGAGGAAGACAACATTTTCACATGTATGATGGAAATTTGTCCCATTGCCATGCCCATTGCATCCTCCCACATGTTGGCCTGTGGCCATCAAAAATTGCTTACCTCTGTCTATGATTATCACCCTGGCTGAGAAGGGCAAGCTAGCCCTTAGTTGTTCTATTGACTCTCTATCCAGATCTAAGGCCACAAAGCAGGATCACTCTGACTGCTTCCCACTCTTCCCATGTTCTTACTTTAGTCAAATACTGCCTCCTTTCTGTCAGGGATCCTAGTTGCTTTGAGATAAAGAAATGAAGTAGATCTTCCTGCTCCATTCATGGAATTTTATGGAGTCTACATGTCACTAGCTCATCCTCACATCCTACTTGGCCTTGCATGAAGCAGCTTTCAACAATTCTTAAAGCACACAGTCTCATGACATGACTTCCATCTCTGTCTCTTGCCTCACAAGGCTGCTATTGTGGAAATAAGCAGGAGGGATATTCTGAATGCTGCTTTGAGCTCTCAAACAAAAGATCAGATTTATATCTAAGATGAATCAATGCATAAATTTCATCCCCAGACTGTTATAGAGGGAGCTGATGTTAATGCAGTGTTTCCTCTCTTCTAATGCAAATCTTTTCATACAATCTATAGTGCCCCAGTGACGAGGCTGATGAAACAGTCAAATCATGAATATGTCTAGCTCTGTCTGGCTACAGACACATAACCCTTTCTTACGTTGTTGGGGGCTGCGATCAGTGGCCATTTTGGGCTATGAGCTAGGCAGAGCAAATAGTTTGCATAGCCTTTTCTGAACTATATTGATATCTGAATATTGATCTTCTGAAAGATTAGTGCTTTCCAAACAAACATCGTATTTCTAAGAGATTGGAATACTTGAATCAAAAGCAAACAAATAGAACCCTTGTTGACAGGTTGATGGAAGGTAGGAATGCACTGTTAGCCTTAGACCACACTAGAAAGCAAAGTTTTGAATGATAATATTACTTTTATTATATTATTACGAGAAAGGAATCTTTCCAGTCTGAATATACTTCTTCATTCTCTTTTTTTTTGTGAGATCTAGGGATGGTCAAATCTAAGATGTTTTTCAAATTACATTTCTGTTTTGGACTCATTTTGTTTTATCTCACTGTTGTCTTGGCTGTGTCTCTTCTTCCTGTTCCTCAAGGTTACTTTTAAAGTAACTGGAGATAAACCAGCTGCAAACAAGAGCAAGAAAAGCTTGAAATAGCCCTGAACCTTCCCCAGATTTCTGCCTGTTGGGCCCACCTCTGAGAGTCGTGAACTAACAGTCCTATTATCAATCAACTCGAAGACTAAAATTGATGTTTTTTACTCTTATTATTTATAGGATATTGATTTCCTTGCCAGACCCTATCCTCTTGGCTTGAACTGCAAAAAAAATTAGCTTATGCAGGGCCTGTCAGTTAGCAACTTTTTTGTTTGCTACTTTATCATTATATTAGGGGAGGTTCATCCTGATTGATAATTCTGCTCCATATGAGTTTCATCCTTGACTGACAGCTCTCTCTCTCTCTCTCTCTCTCTCTCTCTCTCTCTCTCTCTCTCTCTCTCTCTCTCTCTCTCTCTCTCTCTCACTCTCTCTCTTTCTCTCTCTCTCTCTCTCTCTGTGTGTGTGTGTCCCTCCCTCCCTCTCACCATAGGACTTATCTGTCTTCCAGGAGAATAATAGTTCTGTAATTCTATAGTAACCCCCGCCAAAAAACCCCCTGGTTGATTGATTGATGGAGGAGAGTAGGCTCCCTAAAAAGTAAAGACACAAGGACAGAAAAGCCTCACTTGTTCCTAAACTACATCTTAAAAAGGAAGGAAGGAAGGAAGGAAGGAAGGAAGGAAGGAAGGAAGGAAGGAAGGAAGGAAGGAAGGAAGGAAGGAAGGAAGATTCCCCTTGTCTCTTAAAGACAGAGTTTCATTTAACTAACCACAGGTTAGGTGAGAAATGGGAAAGATTGTAAAGGCTCTACCCCCTCATCTATTTCTTGCAATTTGCTCAGGTGGTCAAAACAGCTCATATGTGTAAAATACATGATGCATAGGCAGTATCTGTTAGTGGTTGGGAATACTGGATAGGCATGGATGGCCCTAATATGGAACAATATGAAATTAGCTGCAGTTCTGTGCAAAGTAGCCTGTAGATGTCACTATTGAATAGGAGAAATTTACATCAGTTTTTGAAAAGTTCATCACAGTTTAATTTCAACTGACTAACAGAACAGAGTTGGAAGGAGGTTTTCTACTCGAACCCCTTGCTTAGGCAGGAAACCCTATACCATTTCAGACAAATGGCTGTCCAGTCTCTTCTTAAAAGCCACCAGTGATGGAGCACCCACCACTTCTGGAGGCAAGCTGGTCCCCTGATTAGTGAATCTTAGTGTCTATTTTAGTTACATTATACAGAAGCATCTGCAGTGTGCATGAAAGGTGCAGTGATGAAAGCAATGCTGTACCATCGTGATGTAAGCTTGTATATGCATCAGGGCATCCCACATACAATATAATGGGGGCAGAAATGGTATCACAATGGTGCAACACGGTTTTCATTTTTTGACAGAAGCATCTGATCCTGCAGGTACCTTTTGCTTCCTAGACCAGGGGTCCCCAACCGCCGGTCCGTGGACCGGCACCAGGCCGCGGCATGCCAGCAACCGGTCCACACAAACAAGCAAAGCCCCATCCACTGGATGCAGGCAGCACATGAAACCACGCCCCCTCTGATCTACGGAAAAATATTTTTCCACAGAACTGGTCGTTGGTGCCCAAAAGGTTGGGAACCTCTGTCCTAGACTATCCTATCTGAAGTTCATCCACAGACATTACTTCTACTAGGACTCTTAGTGAAGCAAAGTACCATGTTTGTACACATGCACACAAAGAGCTGGGGACAGCCCTTAGAACAGTGGTTCTCAACCTTCCTAGTGCCGTGACCCTTTAATACAGTTCCTCATGTTGTGGTGACCCCCAACCCCCCATCCAGCTGGCCGGGGAGGAGGGGCAGGAAGGCTGCTCCACCGGCTCCACCCAGCCTGGTTGGAGAAGCACCATTCCTCTCCCTCTTTCTCTCTCTCTTTACTCTTTCTCTTTCTCTCTTTCCTCTCTTTCTCTCTTTCTCTTTTTTTCCCTCTCTTTCTCTTTCCTCTCCTCTTTCCTCTTTCTCTTTCTCTCTTTCCTCCCTTTCTCTTTACTCTCTTTTCCTGTTTCTCTCTCTTTCCTCTCTCTCTTTCTTTCCTCCTTCTCTCTTTCCTTTCTCTTTCCTCTCTCTCTTCTTTTTCTCTTTCCTCTCTCTCTCTTCTCTCTCTCCCTCTTTCCTCTCTTTCCCTCTTTCCTCTCTTTTTCTCTTTCCTCTCCCCCTCTTTCTCTCTTTCTCTCTCTTTCTTTTTCTTTCTCTTTCTCTCTCTTTCCTCTCTCTTTCGCCTCCGCTGCGTCCTCAGCTGAACGGGTGGGGAGGGGGAGCAGAATGGGAGGCAGCGGCTCTGGTGGCGGCGGCAGTGGCACGGTTGCATCGTCGGAGGTCCCCGCTGCCCCCGGCCACCGCCCCTGCCGGGACTCCCCGCTGCCCGGCCTCGCTCTCCACCCATCGATGGAGCCACGGTGGGGCTGGTGCCACGCGGCCCCTGCCAGCCCCTCTGGCAACCCAGCTGCTCCCCAGGCACCCCTCTTGTCCCGGAGCCCGCCTGAGCCACCTGGGGGGCAGCAGGAGGAAGAAGGGGGAGGGCAAGGAAGCTGCTACCAGTGCCGGGCCCCAGGAGGAGGCTCTCCTTTCCTACCATTGCTGCATCTCCTTCTTCCTTCCTTGCAGCCTGAACTTCAGCGCACCTTCCAGGCCAGTGGGGCCAATTGTTGGGCTGGCTGGGGATCACAGGGGCTGGTCTCCCTTGGACTGCGGCTTGCGGGAGAGCTGGCCCGCTCAGCAGAGCCTCCAGCGGGCCGCTCCCAGCAGGGATCCCAGGGCTTCCCCGGGTGGCTCCAAGGCCACGAGGTCCTGGCCGTGCTTCTCCCAGGGGGTGGGGCACTCGGGAGCAGGGCCAATCAGGAGCCCTGCAGGAGGTAAGTCCGCCTGAGAGAGAGAGAGAGAGAGAAGGGAAGTGAAAGTGCCTCTCTCTCTCTCTCTCTCTGCAAATGGCGGAGGAGGCCATGCAGAGACGGATGCAGAGCAGTGTCTTGGTTCCTAAGACCATCGGAAATATGTGTTTTCCGATGGTCTTAGGCGACCCCTGTGAAAGGGTCGTTCGGTCCCCAAAGGGGTCGCGACTCACAGGTTGAGAACCGCTGCCTTAGAATAATGTTGTGAGTCTTGCAAAGAACATAACTATCTTAATGCTTTGAGCAGGGATGTGTGGCTCACACTTTGCAATGCATCTCTTTTTAACACATTATATAATTGTATCTGCTGCATTTTGAAACATATTCATGGGCAGGTTGCAACAGGACAAGGAGAAAGCAGAAAAAGTATTAACAAATGACAGCATGCAGTCACAGATTTAAATTGCTGCTATTTTGAAACTTTGAAAAATATAATTCTGTTTTAAAATTAAGTTTTTAAAATGGTTAAATGTTAATTGTACAACTATAATCTATTTTATATCTTTACACCTGTGCATAGTAAATAGCTTCAAAATGTCAAAATTTTGAAAGCAAAATCACATACTTACTGCTTTAAAAATACATAACGTATTTATTAATTTTTTTGTGTTATATATAAACTTGTGTTCTTTTTTCTTTTGCAGGATTCAGAATATTCCCAGATGGAAAATATCTGGATATAATTTTAAGCATTTTTAAATTAAATAATAATTATAATTAGTTTCAATATGTTAAAACAATGTTATAAAAAGGATTGGATAACAATCTACAGTATTTATTGTAGACCTGATCCATTTATATTTTTCTGATATTTGTATTAATTTATTTAACTGAAAGTTTTATTAGTTTAGCTGATACTTTACTCTTCAACAGAGAATCCAAGATACTTAAAAAAAGATTTAGATAAATCAGCTTCATATTATAAAACAACCAACAAATAAAAACCTTTATAAAACATGTGTTTGGCCGTAATCCATGAATTTTAAGGGTTCAAAAGCACAGATGAAAGGTTTGTTACACAGAGCTCTTGACAACTGGTTTTACAAGAAAAGGTGCTGGATTTTTGCTGAGCTAAGGATGTCTCTTTCTGCCCCCTGCCCCTTCCTTCCTGATTTAGTATTATAACCATATAAATCCCATCCAGTAGGGTGAATAATCAAAGATTGTAATCAAACTTTTGAGGAATCAGATAGATAATAATGTCTGCTTTAGGGAATTGAATTACTTCTAGCACTCTCTGTTTCTTTCCATAGTAGCACAAAATGCATTTGGGTTTGTGTTAGCCGGTGGTCTTGCTCCTTGGTGTTGATCTGGCTGTATGATTTAGACCAGTGGACACAGAATGCTAGAAGAGGCTAGTATAAACAGGGTAAGTAAGAAGATCAGTCCAGAAGAATTTGTCTCTTCCTTCTGGAGTTTTTTTGCCTTTTGCATCTGAGCCTGTCTGGGTTTTGGAATTTATGGACCTCCCTCCCTTTCCTACTCCCAAGCTGTAAAAGACTTTTTCCCCCAGATCCAGTTAGAATGAGGGATGCTTTTCAGAAAAACAACTTTTCTGTGGCATGGAACAACTGATGGAAACCAATGCTAACCAATTTACAAATGATAAAAGTCATGACATGGTAACATTCATATGCTTAGTTTACTGAAGTTACAACAGATGTCTTATTATCAGATTTCCTTTAATCAGTTTCTTTTGCCTCCAGACAGACAACTCAAGGAAGGACAAAGTAGTCAGGTTTGTATCAGAGTCTTCCCAGGATTGTTGATTACTGTTTCTTGTATTTGGCTACAGGCACTGATAAAAGAAGCATTTTTCCAATTGATGGGGAAATCTTTCTGAAAAAATCAATTAATGGCAATCTTATGCAGAATTGCCTGGAAATAAGTCTATTGAATCAGTGGGATTTAAACCTTAATCAGCATATTTTAAAATAAAAAACAGTATAGGGGTTGAATTGTACAGTAACTAAAACTAGCCAAAAGACCACTCTTATTTGGTTTCCCCAGTGTGTCTGTTGTCAGTATGACTTCACCTACGTGTTAAGAGCTAGTTGCCTGCAGCAAGTCATACTTCAGCTCTCATCATTTCGCAAGAGCCTTGTTTCTCCACCTACAGGAAACTCCACCTCAGAGGCAGCATATCAGGAATTTGCTTCCTAAAGAGGCCAAAAGTTAAGGATCCTGTCTGCCAAGTCAGGCTGACAAATAGTATGACTAAGTCCTATTGTGCTGGAAGCCTTCAGCAGAGTCTGGTGGGGAGGAGAAACCACAGGCCCAAGGCACTCTCTGGCCTGAGCTGCTTTCAGTATACAGCGGAAATGCCCAGCTGACACAGGGCAATAGTTCATAATTCAGTAACTTGTGCCCCCCCCTAAGTATTTGCCGGCCTTGAGTCAAGGCTTTTCAAGGCTTTTATTTTCTGCTGCTGTAGGCAAATTAAAAGTTGCTGTACTGACAACTTCCTATGTCAAATGCTGAGCAACCTACCAGCCTATTATTATTTTTTATTCTACTCTTTGTCATAATTATTTTCTCATAGTTATTTTCACATCTATCAACTTTGTTTACCTGGTTGGTGCCAGTCCTACTATTTTAATTTAATCCCGCTATTTCAAAAGAGTGCTGTTGCGCCAGTAGCTTCTTTTCCCTCCTTAAGTAAAGTAATACAGCTTCATTTGGTAAGACTGTAGAAAATTAAACATGCTAGACTCAATCACCATTTGCATTTTCCTATCATTTGGGGCGAGCAAGCACATTTGAAATGGAATATGTGTTGCAGATGAAAAAAATATCTATGTACATAAAGTAATAAGCTTAGTCATAAATAATGCTCATTTCCCAGAACACAAGTTTGAGGTCAAGAGGAAGATAATTGCTAGATATTCAAGATAGGCACAGTCTGGAAACTACTAGGAGTTTTGAATTATACTTGAATGTGGTAAGAGTTTTGTAACAGAATCTTGAAAGTCTGTAACATGTCTTCATGTCAACCTATCCATCTCCATTTCTATCAAAACCAGATGGAGTTGTTCCTTTTCACACTTTCTACTTTCCAGGACTCAAATATGTGTAATGGTTTAGAACATTCCTCTTTCTGAGTCATACCAAACATTCCATCACAAACCTAAATCTAAAGAGGATAACAGATTCTGAGTTATAAACATATAAGTTTTTCTTTGAACCTACAGTTTTCTGCTGCAATGTTTGTTTTAAAGAAGAGAAATAAACGGGCCTCAGTGACCAATAACTTGATCAAGCAACTGAATGAAAGGCAGAGATGGGGTTAGGGATACAAATGCCAAATCACATTTTTTTCCCCTACATTTCTTAACAAAATATCCATTACACAAAAAAATTAGCATTTGACATTGCTCACAGTCCTAAGTTTAACAAAAGGCTACCTCAGGGTCAGTTTCAATACTGAATTTTGCTAGAGGTATGGCCCCATAGCTTCCAGGTGCTAATGCCAATTCTGAGTTGAAGGAAAAAAAAGGTCTGTTTGAGGAATTGGCAACCAGTGTATTATTTGGCATGTACTATTCAAGAACCAAAGTCTACCAATTTCTTCCAGTGGTTAATTTTCTATACTTTTTTGTTTTATTCCCGAGTAACTAAATTCAGTTAAGCAGTCAGATGTTTGAAAAGCACTGATGTTGCAGAAAATGTTCATACTTTTTGTGTTGTGTAATGTGTCACCATAGCTACTAAATAAAAACACTTCATAAATTCATTACTGTATACTTTTCATTGCCAAAGAATAGTTGGAATTTCAGGATTAAGGATAGGGTTTTATATTTTTATATGTTTTAGACATGAGCAAAATACGTGGAAAAAGAAATGTTGTTACTACTTTTTAAAGGAGGCCAAATTAAACATATGACCATAAGACAAAGTAATAAGTTGAACATATACAACATACATGCTTATCCAAGTCATCTCCTTCTTTGGTTACTTACTCACTATCATGCAATGCTAGAACATGAAAGGTTACATCACTGGCAGTGGTTAAGAGAACGATATTTTTTGATCTATCTATCTATCTATCTATCTATCTATCTATCTATCTATCTATCTATCTACTGCATATTATGTAGATGAGGCTTTCTTTCCTATTTCTGGTTTTGTTTTTCTTGCCGAAGTGAAAAGAAAACTGGCAGTGATCCAATCAGAGCTGGTGCTATATAAATAGACTTGGGGGGATGTGTGCGTTCATACCTGGTTTTAACCCTTCCAAATGGCCATAGAAATATATATTTTTAGGCCCTATTTTCATGATACCTCTCTGGACTGCAAAAATCTAGACAACCATTAGTAGGCAGAAGATTTTATTCAGATTTTTGGGGTCTAGATATGATAGTCCTATTCTAGGACTTCATGCTAATCATGAGCATCAGATGTGACAGTTAACCTACAGATGTGGGTTTGCATGATACAGTGCTGGGAAGTAGGTGGAGATTTAGTTGACTAGGAAATAAATTTCAGTTTGTTTAGAGCTAAATTAAATTTTAGAGTTAGCTTAGCCTCCACCCTATCTCATCCCCCAGTTAGCCAAGGGTGCAAAAGGAACTAATGCATCCTTGTCTATAATATGGGATAACTTAAATAATATACTGAGATAGGATTGTGCTTCAGATCTGAGAAATTGTAATGCCTCATGCAGCTCCACAATGAGATGCAGTTTGTCATGACCAGCTGCAAGAGCACAACAATGCAACTGTGTTTGTATCCTGTGCATTGTTTGTGAGCATAGACCAAGGAATGAAATCACATCAAGGGCTCACAGGTATTAGTCTGGGCCATGCACATTTCATTTTTGGCTGGGGAAAGCATCAGTATGAACAAAAACATAGATATTGGTAGAAATACTATATTGGAACTCTAGACCTGAACCTCTAGAACAGTGGTTCTCAATCTGTGGGTCGGGACCCCATTTGGGGTCGAACGACCATTTCACGGGGGTTGCCAAACAACACAGGCCGCCATTTTTTTCCCCTTTTCCTTAGCTGTGCTACTCCCTTTTATTCTATTGGCTTTTGAAAGCCAATAGAATAGACTCTCTTGAATAGAGTCTAATTCTATTGGCTTTCAAAAGCCAATAGGAATTGTCCAGGCTGTCTCTGCCCTGCTGAGCCACCAAAAGTCCCATTCTGCAAACGGTGCTGCACCAGTTGAGTAGTCCTCGACTTACGACCGGTTGAGTAGTCCTCGACTTACGACCGGTTGGGGGTCACGGCATTAAAAAGGTTGAGAACCACTGCTCTAGAATTTCCTGATAGGAAAATAACCAGGAGAAGCTGCCTCAAAAATTTATATCTGGCAAATTTAAGCACCAGCCAAATAGTGACTCATGGTCACTCTCCTGAGCAACAAACTCAAGCTCGGTTGAACCCAATGTTTTTGCCAACTGGAAGAAAAGAGTGGTTACAGTTGATGGCAAAAAATAATAATTAAGAAACGGAATCATTTTTAAAAAAAATAAAAGGCCTCTCACAAATGTGGAGGATTGCCAGGAACTTGGTAGACTCCTTCTTAGACAGAAATAGCAAATGTAGAGCAAAACCAGGATATTAATGAACAGCTGTAGGGTTGGTTTGGGTCTACATTACCAGAACAGGGTATGCTTCTTCCCTGGGATCATTTTTATTATTCTCCTCAAATGGGAAAAAAATGCAGGCATAATTAGGTGGAAAAGATCTGAACAAAGAAAAATGCCAAGAAACCTTTTCTCCCTCTCCTTCTGTCTCTCCCCCTCATGCAATTCTTCATAAGTAATACTGACTTTCAGCGAAAAGAATTATTTTTGGAAGTAACTGGGTGCTCTTAAAAAACTGAATACATGTTATCAAATCGCACTGAATTACTAGCATGATGCCAAGAAACAAAATCTATTACAGAGATGGGGCTATCCAGGTGAAGGGTGACTTATTTGTCAGTAATTCCTACTGAATTCTATAGTA